CAGCCAGCAGCTGGGGTCGAGTCTACGGGACTTCAGCAAGTGCGGGATTGTGTCTTTAGGACTTCAGCAGTGTGAGGTGAGTTACCTTCTAGTAGCGGTGGGTCTAAGGCCACAATGTCGGCCCACCAGTAGGAGATGTATGATAGATGATTGTCTTTGTGATATAATCTAGGTTTGCTACTACCTGATATGTTATATGCTAGCATGATATGTTGTATGTGATAGTAGTAGAGTTCGGTTGTTAGGACCGAAGGGTAGTCAGACATCCCAGATACGTCTAACAGTATGTGATGATATGTTGCATGCTGGCTTGTTATGTTTTATGCGATAGAGGTAGTAGGAGGGGACTAGTCCCCGAGGTTCGATTGTTAGGACCGAAGGGTAGTTCAAACATCCCAAATATGTCTGATAATATGTTTATGTTATGTTATAGGTGATAGTAGTAGTAGGGGTTGAAATAGTCCCTGAGGTTTGGTTGTTAGGACCGAAGGGTAGTCAGCGCCCCAGAATGGCTCGACATGGGTAGTCAGCACCCCAGAATGGCTTGACGTGGGTAGTCAGCACCCGATAATGGCTTGACACGGGTAGGTCGGGTACCCCGGAAATGCCTGGAAGTATGTATGTTATGTGATTGTGTGGTATGTGGTATGATGGGGGAGCTCACTAAGCTTTGTGCTTACGGTTTTCAGTTTTGGTTTCAGGTACTTCGTGTTTAAAGGAAAGGAGTCGGCTTGATCGCAACGCGTCACACTATGGTTTTCCGCACAAGAGATCTTTGGGATTACACTCTGATATTGTTTTATGATAACATGTTTGATTATTTCTACTTTGTTTTTGACATGACATAATATTACAGATGTTTTATTACACTGTTGGTTTTAAAATGACGTAATTAAAAATGAAAATTTTGGCCTGTATTTTTAGGATATTACAAGTTGGTATCAGAGCCTTGGTTTAAGGGATTCGGACATACTCTCGAGTGTGTCTGAACTCAAACTAACGGCTTGGTATGAAAATTTTCAAAAGTAAAACCATTTTATAAAAAATGAGTTTGAAAAGAATCTGAAAAGAGAAAGGAACTTTGAGAAGAACAAAGTGTGTGATGCGTGCAATCAGCCGAGCTCAAGTAAGTTTTCCCCAAGATACCCATACCTGTTATGATATGTTATGTTATGAGATGATTATGAGAATTGCAAGCTAGCTTAGGGCTAAGGATCTAAGAGGATGCCTTATATGCCTATTGTATGTGCTTGTACACTTGCATGCTAGTACTGATCAATCAATGATAGGATAGCATGTTTAGGTTATGCCTGATTGTATGAGCCTTTGAATTGCATGTACAGATTCCTGATTAGAGGATAGAATGATCTTATTGGAATATAATGGATAGATTTCCCATTGTCTGAATGCTGCTTGCTTTGTGCTTTGTGGGACTCTTAGTAATGTGAGTTAACTATTAAGTGAATATGCTAGGTCACATGGGACATAGGATGGATAATCTCAGAGTGCGAGACTTGATCCTATTGCACAGCTCTTGTCTGAGTCCAACCGTTCTAGGGATGGGTCTTTTACTCAAAGGATTATCTAATCTCTGTTGCATGTGGCTATGTTCATGAGGTAGCTAGTTGACATTACTGGGAATCTTTCAGCAACTGAGGACTGGGTGAGTTTGGGAACCTAGGGAAGCCTAGGATATATTTCAGTGAGTTAGTAGTGAGGCTCAGTTAGAATTGGGTGTACCAGTTGAGGAAGTGACTCGGAGGATCCGGGAGGATTGCTGAGGAAAGTATGGATAAGTGTGGAAGGTAGTATTGGGACCGTACTACTGAAAGCACAGGATCCATACTCGAATCAGTGAGAGTCTTGGAGAATCTAAGAAGCTTCAGGGAAGAGTTTGTGACCAAGTTTGGGGACAAAGGATGTTCCAGTTGTTGCAGCTTAGCCATTGGCAAAGCGAGCTAGTGAGCGTGTTAGGGTGTCAGACCCTGAAGGATATGATTTCCAAGAGTTGCAGATGCGAGGCCAATTTGGAGCACCCTAGAAAGAAAGGGTTATGCTAGGTGTGTATAGTAGAGGGTCCCGGGAAGAGAACCATGACTTCTGATCATCAGGTGAAAGGCCAGTAGGGTCGGAGACGGTGCAAAAGGTACTAGAAAGTGCATGAGGGAGTTTGTCACTCCAAGGATTTAGGCTGCTACAGGGTAGCGGGGTTGGTCATGAAAGCAGAAGGGGATCAATATTCCTCCAGATGTTGCGGGTATTGCTATTAGGTGGATGTTTGGAACACATATCGCTTTGGAGTTGTGAGTGAGTTTGGATAAGTCAGATCTCGGGTCGGTTTTCTACTAGTGTTTGGGTTACCAAGGATCATATATGTCATCCCACATGCCAAAAGGTCCTTGATGAACCCAAAGAGGGACACATCTTGCGGAGTGGGTTCCGTGCACACCGTTATCAGTTCGGATCTTTGTCATGATCTATGCAGGAGTATTATTTTAAGGATACTCGATCATGGTTGGAGTGATTGTTCTCCAATGAAGTCAGCGTTTGGGGATTCTATCATTGTCCAGGTATGGTCGGTAATTGTCTATGGATGAACCTTGGAGTTCAAGGCACTACCGTTGCCAGGACAGAGCAAGTGACATGAAAAGGGTAGTGTCAGTCGCGGGTATTAGATGTATAAGTGGTTGGTCATCACATGACCAAGAGAATTGTACTCTCGTGTGGGCTATGTTCGGTTAGAGTTCAGCGGTGCTGCGAAATTGGGAGTGAGAATAAGGACTCGTTAGCCGGAGTGAAGATTAAGGTATTCACTTGACAGCATGGTAGATGGATTGAGGCGTTAGATTGGACCAGATTTCAAGAGTATTCCTCTAGATTTCAGAGGATCGGCGATCTTAAGGGTTGATTGGTGATGAATCGCTATCACTGGTAAGTAAAGGTTGACATCAAGGGGATATTAGCAAGCGAGAAGGGTTGGAAATCCTTCAATTCTTGCGTGTAGTGAAGACTTAGTCGAATCTAAGTGGGGGAGAGACTTTTTATAAAGTTCTCCAAATGTGGTTTCTGGTTACGCGGGGTGCAATCTATTGGGCACCTTGTCAACCAGAAGGATATTCTAGTTGATTCGGACAAGATTGAGGCCGTGATGCAGTGGGAGGTTCCGAGGTCTCCATCTGAGATTTGGAATTCCCTGGGTATAGCGGGTTATTACCAGAGATTTATACGAGACTTCTTCTAGATTGAGGCTCCTTTGACCCGACTGACCAAGAAGTCGATGACCTTTCGTTGGGGGCCTGAGCAGTAGATAGCCTTCGAGACTCCCAGATGGTGGTTGTGCCAGACACTGATTCTCACCCTGCAAGAGGGCATAGATGATTTCATGGTTTATCGTGATGTGTTGATCACGAGCATGGGTACGGTACTGATACAGTGGGGTCACATGATAGCAGGTTTCGGCAACCATGTCAGAGTTCCGGTTAGGACTCTAGTTCAGTGATGTGTTAGGTCAAGTGCGTGTCCGAACCGATATGGAAAGTGTTGTAAGACTACGGGGGTAGCCGTAGCATTCACTAGTAGTCAGATGGTATGGAAAGTGTTGTAAGACTACGGGGGTAGCCGTAGCATTCACTAGTAGTCAGATAGTATGGAAAGTGTTGTAAGATTGCGGGGGTAGCCTTAGCATTCACTAGCGGTTAGATAATGATAGAGTGTTTTGAGACTGCGGGTGTAGCCACAACATTCACTAGGTTAGTAGATAGTGTGAGCGCGTTGTTAGGACGCAGAAGGAATGGTAGTACCCACCAGTTCGGGTGCAGCAGTGAGGATATGGAAATCCACATATTGGATTTCGATATTACCCAGATAGATTAGATCTGGTTGAGCAAGTGATAAGACTGTAGAAACGCCACTACAGTTATGAGATCAGGAAAGTAAAGGACTACTTAAGGGCGTTTGTGATGTAAAGCTACCGTTGGTTAGGTAGCAACCTGATATTTCAGATGATTGGCGAGACGATTAAGTAGGAGTCTTTTGGCTCCACAGCCGGGCAGAAACCTGATATTTCAGATGATTGGCGAGTGAATTGAGACCCAAGAGGTCTCGGTAGCTTTTGGGAAGCAACCATGTGGCAGCATATTGCTTCAGGCAGTTTATTGTTCGTGCAGTTTCAGTGTCTGGGCAGTATTAGTATATGCGTTTAGGGTTGCAAGTTCGGACAGAATAATAGGTTGGTTGGGGTATGCCAAGTCGCTCGTAGTAGAATTAGTTGAGCTTTGTCCGATTCTAAGTGTTATTGAAGGATAGTTGGGTCTGTGACCCTATTTTATAGTGGGAACCGCGAGTGATCAGAAGTTGAGTAGTCAGTTGTGAGATAAACGGATTGGATTCAACGATAATGATTCTGTATGAGTGGTCCCTCGGGAAATCAGACTATCTCAAGATAGTAGATTTATACGAAGTGGATGTGATCCCGTTGCGAGGAGTTCGTTCATATGAGGATATTAAGGCTTTGAGAAGATTGGTCACAACTACCATGGGAAGGCTAGGGTGTGCTCGGGAAGAAGACTATGTTACTATAGTGGCTTGGTATGTAAGGATTGGTAAGGAATGATTTCGAGGACGAAATCTAATTTAAGTGGGGGAGAGTTGTAAAACCATGTTTATTTATTATTTAAATAAATAAATTAATGAACGAATGGTAGTCTGAAATAAATAATTATATATGCAGAGTGTTGGGTTCGAGGAGTTAGTTGCCACATTTTGAGAAGTCGGGGGTTAAAAGCGTGAGTTTGGGACTCATTTTATATTTATTTATAAAGTCAGGGACTCCATAGTAATTAGTCGAATTTAATTTAAAAGGGAATGAGGTTGAGGGGCTGAAATTGCCATTATGGAAACAAGTTTGGGGGATCAGGTATATAAACCCGTCACCCACGGATTTAACCCTGACCCTAAGGAAGCCATCTACAGCTGCCACCTCCCCTACCCTTATACCTCCCTCACCGGCGCCGACATCTCCGGACCTTCCTACCACCGTGTATTAACCTCCAGCTGACACCCTTCATTCGTGTTCCGATCCGACGAGTCCAGCCGACTACCGTCGCTGCCTCGCCATCCAAACGCCATAGGGACCACCGAAACCATTGGGATACCGAGCATGTTGCCGAGAATTGTCGCTGGACATTAAGCACGACAGTTCCGCCGCCACCGTGCCTCTGTATCTTCTTATTCTTCTCCTCCTGCCTTCTGCCATCGTGAAGGACTCGATGTTCCGCCATCGGGTGGGTGCTGTTGATGTGGTGGTCGTAAACCACCGCCATCGCCATCGCTGGTGTTGTTGACGAGGCCAAGGGTGCTGTTGACGACGCTATGGCGGTATGCTGCCATCTTCGAACGTGTTCCTTCGTCCCTTTCTGCCGAGCCATCGTCGCCGCTGCCGCTACAACTGTCTCATCGGGTTTTTCGTGCGCTGCCGGTTGCTGCCACCTCTCGCTGCCACTAGTCACCGTGAAAGGTGGCTGTGTGCGTGTTTTACGTCGTGATTAGGTGTGTGTGGTTGTATTTCCATTAGCAATATGTGTGTTTGGGTGTTGTGTTTAGCCGGAGTTCATGGAAAAGTCACCACCACCACCATGAGGTGGTGGCTACCGCCACATGCCACTGCCGGCCACCACAAGGGTGGTTGCGGGTGTTTATGTATTTAGTGTAGTGTGTGTGTTTAGTTTGACAGTTCATTGTAAAATGTAAAAATGGAATAATAGAAATCTTAAACCACCACCGTAGGGTGGTGGCTATCGCCACCGGCCGCCGTGTCGGGTGGCGGTGTGCCTCGTTGGTGTTGTGTTTTGGTTTGGATGTTTGGATAAGGGACTAAAACCCTAATGGTCTCAAATGAGCTCTAATAGGCCTAATGAAGCTTAATGGACTCTAATGGACCCGATAAAAGCCTAATAGGCTTAATAATATTTTAGTGGGCTTAATAGGCCCAATAAAGCCCTAATTGACATAAAAGACCAACAAATTGATAAATGGGCTAATATTTGGATTGGAAAACCCTAATGCCAATGAAACCCTAACTTTAAGAATTAATCGGGTCACACACACAAGAATTATTTAATGACTTGAGATATTAAATAATAAACTTTGGCAAAGATTAATCTAAGCGATAATGGACTTAATGGATTAAGTCCTTAATGGGTTAAGTAGGAAACTTAACTCTAATCGGCATTTTATGTGAAACCCTAATCATTTGGGTTTATTGTTGGGCCTTTCTATTGGGCCTTGATGATTGGATTATTAATGGGCTATCCAAAAATAATTATATGGACTAAAATAATTTAATGGGCCTAGGGTAAGTCCCATGTAAGGGTTTGGGTCCAATTGGGAAAATTGGGCCATAAATGGACCATAGTTGGGCCTTAATGATTATATGATGTTGGGCTTTAGAATGAGACCATGTATAGGCCTAGGCCCAATTTGGAAAATTAGGCCATGTGTTGGGCTTCGATTCCTAGTCGACTTTGGGCCTATGGATTGGGCCTTGGGCTTGAATAAGCCAATCTAGGGGTAATGTAGTAATTACCCAAAGAACGTACATATGGTTATGTATTGGGACCCAATTATTAATTGGGTGTTATTTTGGTGTTGACAGTTCGGGAATCTGTCAGTCAGCAGCTGGGGTCGAGTCTACGGGACTTCAGCAAGTGTGGGATTGTGTCTTCGGGACTTCAGCAGTGTGAGGTGAGTTACCTTCTAGTAGCGGTGGGTCTAAGGCCACAATGTCGGCCCACCAGTAGGAGATGTATGATAGATGATTGTCTTTGTGATATCATCTAGGTTTGCTACTACCTGATATATTATATGCTAGCATGATATGTTGTATGTGATAGTAGTAGACTTCGGTTGTTAGGACCGAAGGGTAGTCAGACACCCCATATACGTCTGACAGTATGTGGTGATATGTTGCATGCTGGCTTGTTATGTTTTATGCGATAGAGGTAGTAGGAGGGGACTAGTCCCCGAGGTTCGATTGTTAGGACCGAAGCGTAGTTCAGACATCCCAGATATGTCTGATAATATGTTTATGTTATGTTATATGTAATAGTAGTAGTAGGGGTTGAAATAGTCCCTGAGGTTTGGTTGTTAGGACCGAAGGGTAGTCAGCACCCCAGAATGGCTCGGCATGGGTAGTCAGCACCCCAGAATGGCTTGACGTGGGTAGTCAGCACCCGATAATGGCTTGACACGGGTAGGTCGGGTACCCCGGAAATGCCTGGAAGTATGTATGTTATGTGATTGTGTGGTATGTGGTATGATGGGGGAGCTCACTAAGCTTTGTGCTTACGGTTTTCAGTTTTGGTTTCAGGTACTTCGTGTTTAAAGGAAAGGAGTCGGCTTGATCGCAGCGCATCACACTATGGTTTTCCGCACAAGAGATCTTTGGGATTACACTCTGATATTGTTTTATGATAACATGTTTGATTATTTCTACTTTGTTTTTGACATGACATAATATTACAGATGTTTTATTACACTATTGGTTTTAAAATGACGTAATTAAAAATGACATTTTTAGCCTGTATTTTTGGGATGTTACATGTTATGTGGTTTGTGTATTGGGTATGCTCTGGGGAACTAACTAGGTTTCATGCTACATGTTTGTTATGGTTTCAAGTACCTCAGATTCCAAGGGCAAGGGCAAGGGCAAGGTGTGATGGCCTGGCGTGCACTCTATTGCAGGCTGTTTGGGACACTCTGATGCTTGAAATTACAGTTGTATTTGACTTATGTTTTGAAAACAATTATAAATGGATTTTTTTAATGTATGACATCATGGTTTCTTATTCTAAAAATGAAAATTTTACTTTGAAAATTGTGTCGTTAAAATTGGTATCAAAGCCTTGGTTTGAGGGATTCGGGCACACTCTCGAGTGTATCAGGACTCAAACGAAGGAAATTGTAAAATTGTTTTCAATAAGTAACTTAAAAAGGTTTACAAAAGGAAATGAAAAGATGAGAGTGCAATGTGTGTGATCAACCGAATCAAGTAAGTAGTTCCCCAATATGTTAGCCATGTTATACTAATATTTAAGCTTTGTTGATTATATGGAACTTGATATATGTATGCTTTTAAATTGTATACGGTTAGGAGCTTATAGCCTCAAAATGATCAATTTGTCCTTATTTCTTGATCCTCATTTAGTTGTGTTCCTAGGGTAGAATCTTTTATTCGAAAGTCTATTTGATCCTTTTTCTATGTACAATTTGCATGCATAAGGGAAACCTATCATGCCTGGTTTGATTGATATGAGTAGAGTAAATCTTAGGGTAGCCTGAGATTGATGTAAGCGGTAGTTTGTAGCATATGGTTTGGTTTTGGAACGAATTGGGGTTATCAGGTAGAGCATTGGGGAAAGGTACAGGTAGGTGTGGAAGGTAGTATTGGGCCCGTACCACTGAAAGCACAGGACGTGTACCTTAACCAATGTTAGATTTGATGAATTCAAGGAGGACGGTGTGGGGAGATCCCTTTATGGAAATCCTAATCGTTATGATTTATGATATTTCAGTCCAGCATGGTAGTGACGTGATTTGGAGTAGGGGATAAGGATCGGGATTTGGATCTGGGGCAGGATCTGGCAACACTACTGATGTGATTGATGAGAGGCTGCATGAGCTCATTGCAACCGAGGTTACCAGGGGCATCCTTGATGCCACTCCAGTCATTTTTGGGTCGGTCAAGGAGGGATTATGTAGATCATGGAGGAGAGACTCAGATCATTCATAACTGAGGTAGTTACGGGCCAGATTGGATCCCGAACTCCCTCGTTCCGGGAGTTCAAGGTGTATGGGGCGCCTGAGTTTTTAGGTCCAGGGACCCCATCTTTAGTCGACGTTAGGTGGCGGTTATCGAGAACACCTATCGCACGAGTTCTTCCTAGATGCAGCAAAGGTGGGATTTGCTTCTTGTATGCTGAGAGACAAGGCCCATAGATTGGTGGGGTGAGGTTACGAGTCAGGTGGGAGCAACCAGTGTGGCTGAGATGACCTGGGCCAAGTTTGTTCGGCAATTCGACTTGGCGTTTGCACTAGCCATTAAGGTGTAACGGCTTGTGAGGGAGTTTCATGACCTTTAGCAGACCATCGAGACTATGGCGAAAATCACCGCCAGGTTTTGGGAGCGAGCTTTGTTGATCCCGCAGTATGCTACTGATGAGAACATGCGGAGGACGAGATATCATTCCATGCTTATGATGGGTTTTGGTCATAAGACATCATATGTGCTCATACAAACCCTAATGCTTGGATCTAGGTTTCTCTATTGTACATGCTTTGAATCCAAGACTATAAACCCTAATTCTAACATACAAGTAATCATATTAACATGTAATTAGGTTTAAGATCATACCTTGATTGTTATGTAGCAATAACAATCCTAATTCCTCCTTGAATTGACTTTGGAATGCTTAGAGTCACAAGTGTCACTCCTCTAATGGCTTACAAACACCATAAGCAAATGGAAAAGGTATAAAGAGAGAGGTGAGAGGTTAGAATTCGTATCTAGGACCTCTTGGGAAGGGATTTTCGAATTCATGGCCCTAGGGGTGTTTATATAGGTGTAGAGATAGGGTTTCAGTCATTATCCTTATCTAGTTGATTATCCATTAAGCAACCAATAAGATAATCCTTGAATCCTTATCATACTCGAATTCTAAGGGATTTACACCTCAAATTCGTTCACCATATATATAAGATAATCCTTACCTTATTTTGTAACTATCACACAATTACAATTCAGCCCCTCTAGTTTAATTAATTACATTTGATCACAAAACTAATTCTTAATTAATTATTGACCAATATTAATTAAACAAATATGATTTCTCCTTTAATATATTATTCTTATAACATATTAATAAATCATATTATCCTCTCTCTCTTTATTCATTTCTCCAATCAAGTTGCTTTGGTGAAGGCAACCCAAAAGGACCATGCACCATCGGGTCAAGTACATACCAAAATAGTTATGGACTTAGACACTAATCCAACAGTCTCCCACTTGGATAAGTCTAACAACTATTCTGCGTATGACTTCAGATCCTGATCTGCAATTTGTAGCTTTCCAAAGCCGCTGTCAACTCTAATCATATCAGATACGCGTGTCCTTAGATAAGGGATCATATATTCCTCCATTCTAGATATCGTATGAGATACGATTTCAAATCATTCTCTTTGTACTATATCTCGATTTCCGATTTATGACGACAGACTAACTGAACAAATCAAATTAGCCCTAGCCCGGCCGAGCATTTACGTATGTCATCACTAAACCATCGAGGGGCCCAAAGATATCGCTTTTATCCTACCTTGGATAAAAGGAACGGATAAAATTTGATACAATGCTTGCTTGCACTCACTAACCAAA